AACCCCACTTGTATCCGTCATGTTTTGCTCGTCTTTTCCCAGCTCCTATCACCCGCCCGCAGGCACCGACAACTTCCTTTGTCTTCTTCCTCCACAGACACCAACAGCGATGGGGCTGGTCCGCACCGGCCAAAGGCAACCGCTGCCATGGGAATGGCACCAAACACCGGAGCCTGACGCCGGGATGCCCCGTGCCCAGTAAACCGGGCTGAGATGTGTCACCAAACCACCCCCAAAGCAGCAGCGTGTCCCCGTATAACACACCGTTGCCCGTGGCTTCAGGTTGCCTGTCTGCTCGCTTGGCGCAGACTCTCGCCCCGGGCTCGCTTTCCACCAGCCCGACAATGGCGGTGGTTTTTTCTGCGAGTCTGGGATTGGCGCTGGCTGCCATCAGACGGTCTGGAGGGAAGGGGAACACCCCAGACAACAGCCCTGACCCCCCAGACACACGAAAAAGCTGAGTGCTGCGAAGGGGGAAGAACAGACAGAGCAATGACTCAGTGATTGCTACAGGCTCCAACCACGACCGGAGCGCCGCGTCAGGCAGCGAGCTAAGCGTCTAGCGCGCATCAGCGAGCAAAAGCAGGGTAAGAGAGCTCAGCTGGGAAGCAGTGCCTTGTGAGGACTACTTCAGACAGGCTAAAAGAGTTGGGGGTGTTCAGCCTGGAGAAGAGAAGGCTCTGGGGAGACCTTAGAGCCCCTTCCAGTCCCTAAAGGGGCTACACGAAAGGCGGAAAGGGACTTTTTACAAGGGCATGGAGTGATAGGACGAGGGGGAATGGCTTCAAACTGAAAGAAGTTAGATTTACATGAGATAATAGGAAGAAATTCTTTACTGTGCGGGTGGTGAGCCCCTGGCGCAGGTTGCCGCGAGAAGCTGTGGCTGCCCCATCCCTGGAGGAGTTCAAGGCCAGGTTGGACAGGGCTTGGAGCAACCTGGGCTGGTGGGAGGTGTCCCTGCCCAGGGCAGGGGGTGGCACTGGATGATCTTCAAGGTCCCTTCCAACTCTAAACCATTCTATGACCCTCCGCAGTGTCTCTGGCGTGGACACGTAGGAAATGAGCTATGGACGTGATCTGCGAGATGGAACAGCCAGGATGCTCCAAGGAAGCTCTCAGATGCTGAAGAGCCGTTTGGTGCTGACAGAGAGCCCCTCAGATAGACAACAGGGCACGCCTCCATGGAAGGTGGCTCCTAATGCAGGATGAAAATACGTCTGCTGTGCTTTTCTGCTTTAGAAGACAGAGCCTGAGATGTGCTTTGGAAACACGGGTAACCCCAACTCTGGTCCAAGGTGGGCAAGAGCTGGTGGTTTGCAATAAAGCTCTGACCGCCGGGGCCCAGCCCGTGTCCGCACAGCCAGTAAAGCGACTGCTAACCATAATCTGTTATTTACACTCCTGACTCACTTCTTTGCTTTCCCCTGAAACGGAAAAATATTTACAGGTGAACCTGAATTCCCTGAACGTCTCCTGGAGCTCCATGAGCCTAAAGGTTGGTCCTCAGAGTCAGGAAACCAGGTTCTTGTGCCCCTCAGCCCTTCCCTACCGCTCCTTGGGCACGGCGCAAAGGAAACCCGTACAATATCCTTGCAAAACCTCAGAGATGGGCACAGAAGGCTTCCAATCTGGATGTTTTATGAAGGTCTGAGCTTCTGCAGCAATGCAACAGGTTGAGTCAAGGTCTGGTTGCAACCCCCAGCAGCGAAGGCTTCTCCACTTTTACTGGCAAAGTCAAGCCACCACCAGATGTGGTCTGCACGTAGCTGGTGGGGCTTTGGAAAGGCATGGATGTAGCTATCCCTCACCTCCTCTTCTCCTACACAGTCTTAAAATACCGCATGACTATTAAGTCAAGCAGCCAGCACTAGCCTTCCCCTTCTCTACCGGGATTAGCAAAGCAGAAGCAGCCCACGCCTGCAGGACACGCTGGGGTGACAAGTCCCTCTGTCCCAGAAAGGCACCGGTGAATCCTCAAGGAACCAACCTCCTTTGAGTCACGTTAGAAAAACGGCATCAAGAGGGGAAGGGCTCAGCTCACACCTCCGATTCCTCAAACAAATTCGCAATTAGGGCTGCCGGAGAGAGGATAAATCACCTGGAAGGGACAACGCTGGGACTGATTTAAGCCTGAAGAGCTGTGTGAAGCATCAAGAGCGATGAGGGGAAACTGAGCAAGGGGACAAGGGTCAGGCTGCACCTCCCGGCCCAGAGAAGAGCCTTGTAAGCACTTCTGAGCTCCTCTACGTGGCCACCCTGCACTACGCCCAGTGGATGACACCCAGAAACCATTTGTAGGGTTGAAGACTCTCCGTTTTGCAGCACCACGCGGCTCGATCGCCAGAGCTAACCCAGCGCAGGGGCAGGCTGAGCCGGAGGAGAAGCTGGCGAAGGGAAGGCAGGAGGTGCCAAGCTGTCATGCACAGTCCCCGCTGCACGAATTCCCCCCCACCTTGGAGAAAAGCCGGGAAACCTGAGGGTTTCGCAGGGTTACTCCGACGCAGCAATACGCGTGCACTAACGGGACAGGGGGGAGAAAGGAAGAGCTGCAAATCCCTGCTCTGCTCATCATCCCCCTTCCCCTCTACGTACAAACTGGATGCTCCAAACCCTGCCTGATTTGAGGAGCTCAGAGATGTGCGTGCCTCGTCCTGCCATCAGAGACTGACCGCACAGGCGTGCAGCAGCGCCCGGTTGTGTAAGAGCTATCCCCGGGTAAATAAAACCCACCATATTTTGCCGCTCTGGCACAACGTCTTCTGATCCAGGGCGGGATGGACAGGGCCGGTAGTCAGACACTGAGCAGCGAGACATTTTTGCGGGTCGTGAGCAGAGGGAGCCTGAATATTCAGCTGTACCAGCAGCTTGGGAACTATGTGCCAAGACAACATGAACAAGCAACGTTATCCCCTCGCTCTGAGGCACCTTGAAAACCCCGGAGAGGAGGCCAAGGAAAAGGATGCGCCAGGACTGCTCTGCTGTCGAAGCCCCTGTTAGAGGCGTAGGTATGATTTTGGCATAATCAGCACCCCCGGAGCTCTGCAGATCACCTGCCACCTTCAAAGGACCCTTGCCAAACTTGCAAGGCAGCTCCTCCTAAAATATACCCCTTAAACACGCAGTCTTGCATAACACTTTTAACACGTAAGAACCACCGGGGCTCAGCTCACCGCCAGAAATAACTTTTCCCGCAGCACAAACGTGCCCGAACTTCAGGCAAGGGCGGAAGAAACAGCTTCACGCAGCGCCCCAGCGCAGCGCCGATGACGGAGGGTACCCGTGGGAGGGAGGGCGGCCGGTGGGCAGCGATGCCCCCCGCGTCCCCCACCACGTACATCCCCGGGGAAGCTGCTTTTCGCTGCCCATTCTTGTGTTTTCCAGCGGTGGTTTCTCAAAGCACAGCCCTGAGCAGGGCCGCAGGCCAGCGCCGTTAGCCCCTCCTTTCTCCACCAGCTTCCGCACAGATACTTCTGATTTCATCACTCGTTGCTCTCGGAGGCAGGAGGACTGAAAATGCAGTGCAATAGCCCCAAACAGCTAGCAGAGGTCGCTTAACATGCGCTGGGTGAGCCCTGGGAAAGGAGATTTCACGGCTGCGTTTCCTACGGCGAGGCACCTCGTTGCTAAACGTGCCTTAAATCATTTTGGGCAAAGCCAGGAAGGGATAAAGCCCAGGGAACACGCCTGGTTCCACTCTGCCCCCACCGCTTTGTCTCTCAGACAGGCAGGAAGCCTCTGGGTCTGAAGTGTTTGCGCTCCTGCGCCTACATGTAAATAAAACACCCAGGAGGGATTGTGAAAACGGGGCTCTACCTGCCTACGCACGCTCACAGCAGGCTGGGAAGGGGATGAGGTATTTTTAGGAAAAGCTGGGCAGGGAGGATCTGAGTTCCTGGGGGGTCTCTCGGACCCCTCCAGGCCAGGTCAGGGCATGGTTTCCAACAGGCACCAGCTTAAAAAAGCTGCCAAATCAAGATTTCAATCAGCAAGCTGGAGTGCTCCATAAGGAGCGCTGCCGTTAGCGTTATTAAATCACTGACGGTAATTGAGGAGCAAAATGAAGGAAAAGCAGAGCTCCCTTTGCTCCTGTCACCTGCTCTAAAGCACAAAGAGGCAAACATTTCACCTGCCCTCTTGGCTTCCTCACCACCGACGGGACCGGGGCCAGTTCGACCTCTGCACTGCCAGAGGCCGGGTCCGGCACGCCGGTGCCAGCGAGCGCGGAGCAGTTACATCACGTCAGACGCTTTGGGGTAATTCGGCTGGTATTGATCCAGCTGCAGAAGTTTGGAAAACACTTTGTCAACAACCCCCGCCCTGGCAGACTGATGCTTTCCCAGAGCGGGTCATGGTAGTGGGTGATTTCTCCCAGCCCGCTGGCCCCTGATGCTCGTTATCTTTAACGCAGGAATCCTCCGGACGCTTTGCAGCAGAGGCAGCTGCCCACCCTGGTTTGCTGCGGAGGGGGAGGATGGGGAGGCCGAAGCACTGGGAGATTTTTAAGTGACTTCTCCAAGGTTACAAAAGGCATCTGTGGTTGTGAAAGGAAGCAAAGAAACAAACCCAACGCTTCCTCCCCGCTGCTGCCTGAAGTGCCAAAACAAACCCGGTCCAGGCAGGGGATGGTCAGGAGTCGGGGAGCATCTTCAGCCCCGCTCCCGGACAGCGAGAGGAGCAAGCCCCAGCTGAGCAAAGGGGCTGGGTGCCGCTGCCCGGCGTGCCAGGCCTACGGCACAGACCCAAGGTCGTGGGGAGAGCGGTGCCCACCCCTGCCCCGGGTTGCTTGGGGGGAGCGGTTTGCACAGCAAACAGTAATTTGCCCTGGGATGCTGCGGGGTTCCCACCCTGAGATGCTCCGGGATGTCTGTCCTTGGGATGCTCAGGGGGTCCCTCCTTGGGATGCTCCTGGGGGGGACGCTCGGGAGCACCTGCGGTGGGGGTGGGGGGTGTCCCTCCCCGGTGCCCTTCCCCAGGACCCTGCCACGCCACCGCCCACCTACCCAGCTTCATGAGACAGGCCAGCAGGATCCAGAGGGAGATCTCGAAGGGGATGCGGACGTGCTCGTAGTCGATGCCCAGGACGGGGAAGGCTTTGCGGTGCTTGGGGTGCCCCTCGCCCGAACCGTTGGCCAGTTGCTTGTTCAGCAGCTGCATCTCCTGGGCGGAGGCGGGCGGCGCGGGGGTGAAGCCCCCCGGTAGCGGGGCCGGTTGTTCCTGCGGGGGCTCGGAG